TGACACATTACTTTATTTTAATTAAAATTTGTTGTTTAGTCCAATTTTTTTTTTTCATAAGATACCAGAATTTATTTAGTTCCAATAATAAAACTTAAAATTTATAATGAAACTTAATTTTTGTCCGATAATTGACATATAATATTTATGCAGAAAATCGGTTCAAAAAATTAATTTTTGGAACATTTATAGAAAGCATTAATCCAAATTTCAAGTCGATACGATTTATGGATCTCGAGATATATCAATATGTGGGTATTGACATAACGGTTAGAAAGCTTTCAACAAATACTCAATTTATTTCCATAGGATTGGAAATATTACATTATACAGTTTCCAACCATAAATGTGGGAAATATCTTCTCGAGAACAAATTATAATTCAAGACATTCCGACCGAGCGGCATAATTTCAATCTTTCAAATTCTTTACTTTTAGTTTCTTCAAATTCTTATTAATATTGTTAATTCACAAAGAAATCAAATTATAATTTTAATTAAACATTTTTAGTAAAAGTTTTGATTAAGAGTTTCAGAAAAATTTATAATTAAAATTTTAATAGAAACTGAAGTTGTATAAATTTCCCGGGATTTCTCGGGAATAAAAATGTTTTCAAATCAATTCCCGGGAACGAAAAAAGTCCGGGAAATTTGAAACCCTAACGATAAACTTTAGTGTCAATATGAAAATTGTCAAGTGTCTAAAAAATTGGCGGATAACGGGAGCGTGGTCCCTCCCATATGAATTAAATATAAAAATGTGAATAATTTGCGGAAAAATAACCGGTCTACCAATAGGGATATGGTACCTCCCATATGAATTATTTTTACATTTAGGAAAATATAGGATCTAGAATCCTCAAATGTTGTACGTGTTGTAGGGGGCATGGCACCTCATATATGAATGAAATACAATAATTCTCAAATTTTTGCACAGGCAACATTGAAATCCATATGAACATTTGGAAAAATGTGTAACCTATCAATAGCGGTAGTTGCATCTCCTATATAAATTAAATACAGGATCCCAGTTTATCAATTCTGCATCAGGTTCCACTAGAAACGGGTTCTTTCGAAGCGGTTCTACGAGAATGATTTTTTTTAGCAAAAAACTAATGTTTATGATAATTTTGAGAACAGGTTCCTACTTTTCAATTCTATAACAAGTTCCACTAGAACCTTAGCTACCTTATTTTTAATGTTTTTACTATGGCATTGAAATTATAGAATTCAGTGTTAACAAAACATTTCTCTTTTTGTCTTTGAAATTAATTTCCTAGCCACCGTTTGTCGACTACAAAATGTTAGTAGGGTTTCCCGTAAAATGAAAATATCAAAAATCGAAAATAGTTTTTATTTATGTATATTGGTAGAGTATATCTAGTGTAGCGAAACACACTGTATATAGCTAGTTATTAATAAAATATTAAGTCACACCAACTACATAGGATTTCAAAGTACACAATTTTTTATTTTTCAAACTGTAACGTATTTCGTCCCACTGTACGATATTCGGCATTGGTTAAAAATTTAAGAAGACAATTAAAGACCAATTAAAAATGTTAAGAGTTTTAATAAAAATTTTGCAAATTTCGTTAAAAAATCAGCTAAAAAAACTGAAAAGTAACGAAATTGAATTTTATATTAAAAATTGGTATAAAATAAACAAAAATTCTACGATATTTGTTAGTAATAAACTTAAACATAACTGTTATTATTAATATAATACATTTAAAACGATACACTTCTAAGTTTATACTCTTGTGGGCTTATGTCCAATATTTCGATGTGTTACAAACGAAATGATGAAATCAATACACCCTGTATTTTTAGTTAAGTCATGGGCGTTAAAGTTATTTTCTGAAGAGCAACTTTTATTTGGGTGGGCTCAATGATGGACCGATCACCATAAAATTTTGTACATCGATTATATTTGTATAAAACTTCTTTATGTTTAATTTCATCGCTATATTGGTATTTACACCACCACTATAGTGGGGAGGGTATTATGCGTTTATGCTGATGTTTGTAACGGACAAAAATATTGGTCCACCCACCTTAAAGTATACTGATCAACTAAGAATCACTTTCTGGGTCGATTAAGACATCCCCGTCCGGCTGGCTGGCTGGCCATGTAAATCTTGTGCGCAAGTTACTGGCCGAAATTTTTAAGATAATTTGATAAGATTTGAACCATACCTGTTTTTCGGTACAAGGACGAAGTCCACTGACCTAGACCCCATACAATCGGTCCTTTCGATATGGGGTTTTTAGGTCATGACTTCGTCAAATATACTACAATCACTCCAAAAATTTACACAATTAATTTTTTTATAACAATGCCGATTTTTGTAAAAATATCTTAAACGTCCAAAATTGACTTATAACCATTGGTATCGCGATGAAATTCAGCATAAATAATTTTATATAAATATACATTCCTCCTACCCTTTAAAGACCGGCCCATATTTGACCACAACTCCCTTATAAAGATCTTTTGGAAAATTAGTTTTTCATCAATAATTAACTTAAATACATCGGAATTAAGGAAAAATTCAACATTAATGTTTCTTTATGAAAAATAAATATATAATCGGCCATGCCCGCCTATACTTTCCTACTTATTTTTAGTGGCGGGTATAAAAACTTTACAAAAAATACTATTATACCCTACACCACTTTAGTGGGGAGGGTATATTGGGTTTGTGCTGATGTTTGTAACGCACAATGATATTGGTCCTATACCCACCTTAAAGTATGATCAGTAGAATTTAGGTCATATAAACTTTATTGTAGTTAAAGAACAAAATATACATAAATTATCCAATTAGTCACATCTTTAAATAAACACACTTTGCAGCAAAACGGCATACAAATTTAAATATGCAAATCAGTATGGATCTTGATCTTAAGAAGTGTTTCATAATATAGACTAAAAGAAATTTTCAATATTAGTACTGAAGTTTGGCTTTTGGTTTACATCGGCGAATATACCCAGCAAAATCTTTGCTTACAATGATTACTAATAAGTACTTTATTAATGACTTACTTTGTAGGTAAAGTCTAAAAAGAATCAAAATAAAGAAACAAACAAAAATAAAACAATTACGTTTTCTGTTTTTTTTCGTTTTTTTTTTGTGCACATGATATCAAATGTCTATTTTTAGACAAGCAGAAAATAAAAAAGTATTTGATTTGACGCACAATAAAACAGCTAAGCAGTGATGTATTGAGTGTAGCATTCAACTGGTACACGGAAGGAACTGAGTTCAACCCAGTCTGTGTCGACTTTTTATTTTTATTTTTCAATAAATATTTTATAATAACTCTACTAAAAAAACAACTTATTTCCAACCAAATAATATTGACTTACTTTTGGAACATCTCAAACAAAAATAAGTACTTTTTCTAGTAGAATTGTAAGCACTTTACTGGATGAGTTCTGGTGATTTGTCTAGTGAATTTGTAAGCAAATATTTTGCTGGGTATATAAATACTTACTGTTTGCTGAACTAATTAATGGAAACACCATTTTAAAACGTATTTTACAAATCAAGGGCAAAATATGTAACACAATTTTATACATATTTCTAAATTTTACGAAAATAAAAGTTTGAATAAACATTTTTATATTTTACTATGACTTGAAAACAGAGCTGGAATTAAAGTTCAGTTCTAATTAAATATCAAGCACTTGAATTTAATTTTTTGAGTGCTTAGTGGGATGAATTTGCACATGATCTTCTATTGTACTAGAGACGAATCCTATGGAAAATGGGAAACATCACTTCAATATTTAACTTAGCCCCCATACAACTGAGCCCCCGAATAGGGCTTTAAGTTCATAATTATGTTCAATAAACTCGTATCTCAAGAAGAAGCTGCAAAACCAAGTTCTACACTAGCCTTCACGATACAAAGCCCCCTTCGAAATATGACTTAAATGTACACAATTTTATTCAACAAAAAATGGCTAAAATACATCTGAAACAAGGTACAATTCAACTTAAATGCTTTATTATGAACACTAAATCACATTTTATTTTTATAACTGGTGTAGGGTATTATTATATGGTCGGCCTCGCCCGACTATAACTTCTTACTTGTTTTTCTTCTGAAATTGATCCTGTTAAACATCAATTTATAAAATAAAATGTTTATACAAAATTACAAGTGCTGTGGTTTTATTTTTTTTAATTGTACCTATAACTATAAAAACTTCTAATAACATAAATTATTTGACAACAATTCAATTTTTGTTTAGTTTGGACACAAACTAATTTAAAAATGTTTTTACACCAAACAAATTTAAACAAATTAAAATTTTTTTCCAATTTGGTTTGAAATGTTGCATCTGGTAATTTTATTTTTATTATCAAATTCAAAAACCATCGCAAGGTGTATTATTTTAAAAACTTGAGAGCATTGTTATCCATACTTAATTTTTAAAGATACCTAGTAGGTATTACCTACTTAAATTTGTACCCAGCAAAAAAAAGTGTGGAAAAAGATGTAGTATTTTCATTACAACTACTTAGTAACCCGAAGTGCTATCGAGTGAAAAACCTATGAATTTTACATTAACGTGTCCTTGGAGGGATTTTGTTTATTTTTTTAAAACTTTGAACTACGTGTATTTTTATTTTTAGAATCAGTAAAAATTCGATATTTGAATGTCTGAAATAAACCACATATAATGACACGCTTATGTAAATTTCATTGGTTTTTCACCAAAATTTGAAGTACTTCGAATGTGTTATTTGTAGTGACTTTTCTACATCCCTTTCCACATTTTTAACTGTTTTTTATTTGTAATGATATGTTTGGTTTATAAAAGCGAAAAATATGTAATCGCATTTTTAGATGTGATTAAAATGGCGTTTGTAAAGTATGACATCAATTATTTTTTGCTGGGTAAGGTTAAAAAACTTTGATAAAACAAAAATTTGATTATGAAAAAGGCCTTTTCTGTGGATTATCAAAAATAATTATAATAATTTACCTTAACAAATAGGGCATTCCCATGCTTTCTTCAGACTCTTCAACACTAACCGATTCTTCACTTGCTGAGTATGTAACAGGAGAAGTATTAGTAGTGTGAACGTTCATTGTGCGGTTCGTTGATAATATTGGTAGTATTCGAATACTCTGGTTGCTGCATTCACTAGATGAGCGATTTCTTGATGGTAAACTGTCACATCTATCTCTACTAAAATTTTCAGCTGAAAAAAATAAGAGATACATTTCATTAACTTGTAGTCTATACAATGTATACATATGTATGTCCATTAGGGTGCCCCGTGAAATACTTAGGAATACTTCTAAAACGATGCGTATTAATATACTAAATACGAGAAAAATAAAAAATATTGGTTTGAAAATGACCTCAATACTCTACCAGCGATTGAATGTCTTGATCTTAGTACAATATCAGATAGAATGTCTAATCCCAGATAGAATGTCTTGGTCAAGCGGAACATTAGAGCAAATACCAGTAGGAATTCGTTGCTACACGGATGGCTCTAAATTAGGGGACAAAGTGGGCCTGGGGTTCTATATTGAAGACCCAGAAACAGAAATATACCACCGTTTACCTAATCATAACACAAGCTTCCAGGCAGAAGTACGAGCAATAACGGAATGTGTAAATTGGATTAGAATAAATATGGCGCCCACAGGGCTTAATATATTTACCGACACCGTATTGGATTGTAAGAAAGCTTTAACTGAATACTCTCCCAGAGGTAAGGTTCACATCATATGGGTACCAGGCCATTCGGGAGTAGTCGGCAACGAAAGGGCGAATGTAATACCCCACAGAAAATTTTCAGAGTACTCGGAATTGTAACCAATGTTGTGTGCCTTACTTTGTGTTACTTATAATTTGATTTACTTGTATATAAAATCTGGATATGAAGTTTCAATTTTTAATAAAATTTTTTTGCATTACATCCTAATATACTTGTGATTAACATTGTATATGAGAACAGAAAATTAAAATATAAAAAAATCAAGTGTGCTGTAATTTAATCAACAAAAAATTTTTCATTTATTGAAAAATATTTTTTGGATCAACATTTTTTCAATGTTTAGATGATTTTTAAGCAAAATTTATTGCTTAAAATTAGGATCATGATCTAGCGATTATTGGAATGGCCTTATACTTATGAATGAATTTGTAGATACATGTATTTGGGTAGAATTTTTTTAAAAATATACATATTTAGATGCTTCTTAATACACATGTATTTAACCTAGAAAGTTGTTGTAGATACTTTTTGATACACTTGTGTTCCAGCTAGAAAGGTGCTGTAGATACAATTTTACTTACTAGGTATGTCGGTAAGTATGTAGGAATAGCTACTTTTCTACACACAAGTATATTATAAAAAAGTATAATCTACACACAATATCGCAAACCAAGTATATCAGTTAGTGTGTCATTTTCAAGCGGCCATACCATGTGTAAAGTAAGCCAGAGTGTGTGTAAGTTTGTAAGCACTTTCGAATACAAAATAAGCAACACAATATCAATGTAGTAAGCTATAAATTTTCTGTTGGGTATCTTTAAAGGGAAGGGAGCTCGATGTAGTTAACCTGACAAACGCAAAACCATTCGACGCAACAAAAGCTGAATTAAAAATATGGATGAGAGAATCCCATAAGGCCTCTTGGAATAATGAAACGGTGGGTAGAACCACAAAGATTCTATGGGGTGACCCTGATGAGAGCAACACGAGAAATCTTCTCAAAATGAGCAAGTCTGAAGTTAGTATGATGGTACGTATTCTGAGTGGACACACAGGATTACGAGCACACCTATACAAAATTGCACGTGCGGATTCAGACGAATGTAGAGCACGTGGAGAGGACAGTGAAACTCTGGAGCACTTTCTTTGCCATTGTCAGGCATTCGTCGAAGTTAGATCCAAGTATCTTGGAAGTGATGTTATTCCGGAAATAACATTCTTAACCAACACCGATTGGAAGATTCTTAGGAATTACGTCCAGGAAACTGAGTTTCTGAACATGGAAAAATAATACATTCAGTGAACAATTTTTTTTTCTTTCTTGAATTGGAGCGCACAACAGGCCCGATAGTGGCCTAGGTGTATTTCTACATACATACATCCTCCTATCAACCTACCTACCTACCTACCTAGTACAATATGCTCAAAAAATTTTGAAATATTTTCGAAATGGATTAAAAAATTCCATAATTTTGAGTTTTTGTTAGAGTATTTCTGGCCCGACTTTTACTGCATTAAAAGAAGAACACACTTACAAAATTATATATAAACAAGTAGGAAAGTATAGTCGGGCATGGCCGACCATATAATACCTTACACCATGAGTATATTTTAAACATTTTTATTTTTCACAAAGAAACTTTTATGTTGAATTTTACCTTAATTCCAAAGTATTAAGCAATTTATTGATAAAAAACAAATTTTCTAAATGATGCTTTATATAGGAGTATAGGTCAAACATGGGCCGATCCTCATTAAATTTGGTAAAAGGATATATTTTTAAATAATAGTTAATTATGTTGAGTTTCATTGCGATACAAATGGTCACAAGTCAATTTTAGACGTTTAAGACATTTTTTGAAGGGGGGTTTGTATGTTGGCTAGGGTCAAATAAGGGCCGATCATTACGAAAATCTGCAGTGTCATTTATACTTATATAAAACTTATTTGTGCCAATTTTTAGAGAGATAATAGTATATATGACGTAATTATGGCATAAAAAGCCCAAATCGGGAGGTACGGTTGTATGGGGGCTAGGTGAAATAATGGACCGATTTCAACCATTTTCAATAGGCTTCGTCCAAATTTCATCAAATTATCTTGAAAATTGCGGCCTGTACCTTGCGCACAAGGTTTACATGGACAGCCAGCCAGCCAGCCGGACAGACGGACGGACATGTCTTAATCGACTCAAAATGTGATTCTGAGTCGATGGTATACTTATTTTTGTGTGTTACAAACATCAGCACAAACGTATAATACCCTCCCCACTATAGTGGTGTAGGGTATAACAATGCTGAAATGGAGCTTACCAAATGCCAAAAAATCGTTTAAATATTTTGCTGTATAAGCTTAAAATTACGACAATTTTGACATTTATTTCGATAAAAAACGAACATAATATGCCCCTCAAACCTACTAAAAATCATACTCTAAAAAATGTTTACATTATTTTTCCCGTAGGTAATCTGCTAAAAATTAGGCAATTTTTGAGGCCCATCTAAAAAAAAGAAACTTTTTTAACATATTATCTCATCGATTTTCTCATAGTGGATAAACGTGTTTCAAATCGTTCCACAGTGGGGCAGAATGGAAATTTTTTGGAAATAAATCTGGCATTTCTAAACGGCTGATCCGATCGGGATAAAATTTGGCGTGAGCGTAGCCAAGGAGTATTCGAGTTTAAGTTTTGAAGATGAACCCTGCAGATGCCCCAGGGACGGCGCTGTGGCGGCTCAAAGTAGGGTACCTACGACATGTAAAATTTTTAAACTCGTGCCATTTTTTTGTTTTTCACCCAAATACAAAGATTTTTATATTTTGTGAAAGCGCTCGACGAGATTTTGGACGAGAATTTTGGACCAAATGGACTCAATTTTTTCTTGTTAGTTAGACAATTTCCAATATATTACAAAAAATTTCAGATCAATATCATTTACAGATCCAAAAATATACGTTTTTAATTTAAAAATTCCAAAAATTTTAGATTTTTGGCGTTTTTTTGCCAAAAATGTGTCTTAACTCTTTTATTAATAAAATAAAATTTTCTTTAAGAGCATATAACAATTTTATAGTTTTCTAAAAGCAGAACGCTTTGGCGTAAAAAACTTGTCCTATTTTTTGAAAATGTTGCCACTGCGTCCTTCCGAATATGACCTATTTTTTATCAAAACTTCAACTTTGGGCGACATGTTCTAAAATCCCAAAGCTGGGATCAGAAAACTGAAAGCAGTTTTGGAAACCTCAATATGTTTTCTATTTACTCCAAAAGTATTTTCCCAGCCCTGAAAGAAATGTGGACCCTATGGGCAAAAAAGTAAAAAATCCCACTTTTGGGATTTTCATTCCTATTTTTGGGAATTGCGGGATGCCCTTTGACCTTTTCAATTTTTTTTTTTTGCATATTCTTATTTGAAATGACAAATTTAACAAGCGTTGAAAATTTCATTGAGTTTTGTTCATAAATAAAGATTTTGTCATATATTACATATTTGTTTAATTTCTAAAACTATGATTTATATCAAAATTTTAATAGGGTCGCAGATAGCTACAACAATTTAGTCCATATTTATCCCTTAATATCATTTTTTAGTTAGATACAAAAAATTTCAAGCCAATATCTCAATTACATTCAAAAATATGTTCATTTAAACCTGTGTCCTTTAATTTCATCTTTTTCATATTTTAGTATTAAGTATGACAGAACATATTAAATCTTATATTTACCTATTTTCTATTTGTTTGCTTATCCTTATAATTGAAAAGTCCTATTATGCTTAAATTTTCAAAAATTTATAACTATTTTTTACCTAAATTTTTTCGACAGATCATTTCGTTCTGTTTCGTTTATGATCATGTAGGTAAAAATATACAGGTAATGATAATTTCGATTCATTCACTAATAAGAAATATCAATGACTGAATTACAGGTTATAATAATATAGTCCTAAATGTTAATAGGTAGACAATTCGTAATTTTTTACTTTGGAATACCTGTATCGGAAATGACAAGAATTGGTATATAAGTAAACTTCTCAGATTTTAAGTACCATATTTAATAAATCTACAATGAAGATTACATTAAAGTACGAAGAGTTGTGTTCCGTTTTATGGAGTATATCTTCAAAAGGGCCAGAAAGAATTGAAGACATTTCAAATTATATAAAAACTACATATAGTAGAAAAGTAGACAAAACAGGCATATCAAAAATTGAAAACTTATTAAAACTTTTTGATGTAAAAAGTAAGTCTGTGGATGGAAATCAAAAGAAATTTCGATTAAAATTTTGTAGTTGGATGGAAACTACTACGGAAATCTCAACTTACAACACATCAACAGGAGCGCCTTGCAAGTCATACGAAGACTTATGTTCAAGGTCAAAAAAAAAAGAGGGTCACACAAAAACTTTTTTCAATCTCAAATGAGGAAATTGCTGATACATTTAACGAAATGCTGAAAAAGGAAAACCAACCTATGGA